ATGAGTGGTGTATGATGAGTGGTGTATGATGAGTGGTGTATGATGAGCGGCGTATGATGAGTGGTGTATGATGAGTGGTGTATGATGAGTGGTGTATGATGAGTGGTGAATGATGAATGATGTATTGATGAGTGGTGTATGATGAGTGGTGTATGATGAGTGGTCTATGATGAGTGGTGTATGATGAGTGGTGTATGATGAGTGATGTATTGATGAGTGGTGTATGATGAGTGGTGTATGATGAGTGGTGTATGATGAGTGGTGCATGATGAGTGGTGTATGATGAGTGGTGTATGATGAGTGGTGTATGATGAGTGGTGTAAGTGATGTATTGATGAGTGGTGTATGATGAGTGGTGTATGATGAGTGGTGTATTGATGAGTGGTCTATGAGTGGTTCTTGAATGTCCGTAACACGGAAGTTTCGTACACTAAACCTCCTTTCACTAGCGATGGCCTCCAACCTACTAGCAATGGCCTCCATCCTACTAGCAATGGCCTCCAACCTGCTAGCGATGGCTTCCAACCTACTAGCGATGGCCTCCAACCTACTAACGATGGGCCCCCAACCTACTAGCAATGGCCTCCAACCTACTAGCAATGGCTACTAGCAATGGCCTCCAACCTACTAGCGATGGCCTCCATCCTACTAGCGATGGCCTCCATCCTACTAGCGATGGCCTCCAACCTACTAACGATGGCCTCCACCCTACTAGCGATGGCCTCCAACCAAATTACCAGCGATGGCCTCCAACCTACCAGCAATGGCCGCCAACCTACTAGCAATGGCTACTAGCAATGGCCTCCATCCTACTAGCAATGGCCTCCAACCTATTTAAGCATTCTTCAGCAAATAAAAGAGTTTGCTCCGAGTGGCTTGTAATCCTTTACTCCTTCTCTCACCGAGGACTTCCCCTTGGCATTGGCAATGAGGTCCCCCATGTGATGATTCACAAGACGATGGTCTGCTTCATCTGCACGTACCTCAGCGTTTCAACATTTCACAAAGAAACATCTTTGCCAAGCAAACCAAACTGATCCAGAACCCCTTTCTAAGGGGGCAACCAAAGCCGACAAGGCACTACCAAAATCACATCCCGCAACGTGGCATCCTCTGGCATATTCCAGTACTTAATGGCAATGGCTGGAGCAGGCACGTTCTTGATCTTTCCTTCATCCACCATTCGAAGCATCTCTGTGTAGGTATGCACTGCCTCCTCTTCCAAATAGCCAACAAAGCGATGCGCAATGCGCGGGGTGAGGACATAGAACACAGTGTAAGCTGCAAAGAAAATGCCTTGGCCACAAACCACCATTGCTCGTTGGTGCCACCTCTGCTGTGACAGCTCCATGAAGGTCATCAAATGCATGCGTTCATTCTCCGCTTCATCCATCACTGGTTTGATCCAGTTGCAGTGCACCATGCGTCGTAAAGAGCGCATGTGATGAATCATACCTGCAACGAAGCCAGGAACAGCAGCGATGGTCTCAAGCATGCATGCACGATCCAGCAAGCGGTCTTTGAAGTAAGCATCGCTGCATCTGCGTAGAAACTTTACAAGTCTCAGAGCGACCCGGTCCTGCCAAGTTACAGGCTCATAGTGTGGCTGATCCATCCAGTCTTTGTCCAAAGCCTCCAAAACCTCACGAGATGTGCGGCTGTATCGTGTGGAATGGCGGTGAAACTGGTGGTTCATAGGCTGCTCTGGAGCAAGCTTCACACCTGCAGGAGCAGGGTTCAGCATGCGTGCATCATGCGAGCAGTGCGAATGCCACCGCATTGAACAAATGCTGATCTGCCCGAATGCCATGGGAGGCGAGCTCCGCGGTGCAAATGCTGCCAGGGCGGACTTTCGTGTCAATCCACGCACAACCGTTGCAGATTTGGATGCCATCATGTTGAAGGCCATTGGCAAGCTCATTATTGCTACTCTAGCGGCTCTAGGCGGTCTCGAGAAAACTCAATTGCGGACAAACAAATCTTATTGCATTACGCAACTTGCAGCTCATGGCACACACCACATGACCCTTGCATAACCCTTGCATGACCCTTGCATGACCCTTGCACCTTGAAGTCAGGAGGAAATGGCACAATCTTGAAGTCCGGTGAGCTTTGCTTCATGGGCGATGCTGTGGAGCACTGAGGCAGGCGAACCTATTCCATGTGTGTGCTTTGTGTTATGCGAAGTGTTGACACCAATTCCTTTTGCAGGGCTCTGGGTAAGAAAGGCCAGGTCTCTGGTTTACAACCCAAAAGCCTCTCGAAGAGTTCAGATCGACATGCTTCACATGAGTTGTACAAGGTGCTGAAATGTTACATTTGTTGTGGCTTCGTCTTACGGGCTGACAGGCTGATGTTGGAAGTAATATCTAAAATGTGTGCGGATCTTGGAAAAAAAATACTGCACCGCACGCGTTCTATTCTTTTCCATCACTCGATCTGTCCGCCGCATCCGAAGATGCATAAACAAGGTCCAGGATGTCCTCGCGCTTAGATGCCGCTTTGACAGCCTAGTTACTCAAGGAACAGTTGTGCTGGTCCTCTGGTGATTTGTTCGTGAAATAGTCGTTTTCCAGCTTGACACCCTCGACCTGACAAGTCCAAAGTCAAAACCGTCGTGCACAGCTTGTGACAGGGCCTTGCAAAGCTCTGCGACTTTTTCGCGCACCTCTCCAGCGGACACAATTCAGAAGTCAATACATGTTCTTTGGGAGGAGGTTTCGACTAGGGCGTAGTAGTAGTAGTAGTAGTAGTAGTAGTAGTAGTAGTAGTAGTAGT